CGAGGAGGTTTTGTGGGAAGCTTTTCAATGACTGATTCAATTTCTTTAATAGTTTTAAGAACTCTTCTTTTTTTTTTTTTTCCATTTCTTCTTGCAATGTGGTATATTTTTCTGGAAATTCATCCATTTGCTCTAAATTAAATTTATGGGGGTAAGGTTCTTTATATCTTCTTTCTGGTATTGCAGGGCCTGCGATGATGCCCTTATTCTATTTTATTTATTTCTGCTCCTGACTCTTGGTGTTGGTTTTTTCTTTCTTTTTTCTTTTTGTTTCACTGTCTGTCTCAGAAGGCCTCTGGCTTCATTAGAAGTTGGCCAAAGAATCCACTTTGGGCCTCATCTGGGTTTTCTGGTATATATTGCTTTTTTTTTTTTTTTTTAATTTCTCCAAGCTCAGCTCTATTTCTCGGCCTTGCTTTACTAGAGTGGAAAGACTTGTTTTATAATAGTGAAAGCACAGGGCAGAATACTCGGGCAAAGTCTTGGAGCAAGGCATGAGCAGGCACCGGCATGCTCCAGCCTTGTCCCCGCCTTTCCCTTTTACCCAGAAGATTGACAGGAAGAGGAGCAAAGAGCTCACCTGGCCCCTCCCTCCATCAGTGGCCCTAGCCCCAGAGTTCCTGAAACAAGAGGCCTGGACAAATCAGAGGTTTTCCAACCATGTTCCTCTGGGCTTGAGCAGGAGAAAAGGGAACCAGCCTGTGACCTAGGCAGCCCCTGCCATCAGAACTCAACTCCTCTGTCTCACCTGTTGCACTGCCACACTAAACCCGGCTGAGCAGCTAAATGAAAGTTTGCAGCCCACCTGGTGATTAAACCGACTAGATTTCTCACCCAGCGTCACCACTCACTTCCCTTGAGGTTTCGGACAAGTCATTTCATCTCTCTGCACCTCGGTTTCTTCATCTATGAAATGGGTGTGATGGTAATGGGCCCCGCCTCCTCAGGAATGAATAYGGAACCTGGGCACGGCACTCTTTCCTGGAGGAGCTCCTTCTCGTTGCTTTCTTTATCGTGTTGGAGGAAAGCAAGCCCAGAAGAGTCCGTTGGGTGGCACCTGCAGCTGGCCTCTGCGGTACATCTGTGCTCTCCTTCCACGCTGCCCCCTGCACCTGTGAGGCTAGGAGCCTCCAGAGCCCCTGCTGCCTGGCCTGCCCACAATGCCAGCTTCCCTCTTGCATTTCCTGGGTCATTGACACCCAGCTCCAGCCCTTTCCTCATGTGGTCACCATGACCTAGCCCAGGCAAGCTCTCTGAGCTCTCCTACCCCTCTGCTCCCTACGAAAGGCAGGCAGAGCAGCCAGAGCAGGGGCCGAGAGCAACCCAGCTGCAGTCCCCATGGCACCATGAAAGCTACCACAAAGCCCTCTGGACCTGTTGCTCAGGGCAACCACTGTCAGTCTCCAGGTGCTTGCTCTGCCACGCTCTCTCCCTCCTTCCCTCTCTTTCTTTCCATTGCTCTCTCCTTCTAGGAAGCCCTGAGCCAAAGTGCTCCAATTCCAAGCCTCCCAGAGTGGCAGGGCTCCCCAGAGCTTCACGTTAACATCTCATTTTAAAGTCAGAAAGCTGAAGCCCAGGCTGGATACCGGAGGGACCCATCCACCTCCAGACCACCCCAAAGAAAGAGTCAAACCTCAGCTGCCCACTCCAAACCCACAGCTGCTGCTTTCCTCCCCGATCATCCCAAACACTGCAGATCTGGAGCCAGGGCCTGCCCCCTGGCCATGCCCCTGGCATCCCCCAGGTGGCTGTAACGCCTTCCAACCTTGCAGCCAAGAGAACCAGTTTGAATCCTCGAGCTGCATGTCATAGGCCCTTCTCACCCTGGGAACCAGGGCAGGAGCTCTGAACTTGGCAGGGGCCAGATCTGCTTCTGCCTYTCTATGCTTTGCCTTCCCCAAGGACCATTCCTGACTCATCCAAGCGCAGAGAAACCTCGCACACCCCCAAAGGCTTGTTATTGGTGGTTTTGCTTCTAGATAGGATCCATATCCGGAACACAAGCTGTTACCAGCAGGAAGAGCCCCTGGATGGCTACAAAGCCATCAGCTCATCAGTGACAACTTTCCCTGGGAGGCAGTCGTGTGGGTAGAAATGACCTGCTCATCTTGCTCTCTCTGCCCCCTTGTGCCCCACCCAAAGTTCAGGCAGATGCCAGGCTGACGGGGATCCAACACTCAGAGGATAACATCGGAGCCTCTTTATGACTGGGCACACATGCCCAGGGAGGGCCAGTAAYTTCCCATGACGGCCCCACCCCTGTTTGGGCACTTGCCCGCACCCTCAAAGTTGCCTTAGAAGCACCAAGAAAGTTCCACCAGAGCAGCAAGAGCAGCAGCTGCCTCCAGAGACCCCTTCTGTCCACACAGCCCCTTCCTCCTGTCTCAGGRTGGCTCTTTACCTGCTGCAGCTGGGCCAGGTGGTGTTGGCCCCTAGGAGTCAGCTGCAGGGCTGTGTCCTCCATCTCACGGTGTGACTTCCCTCYACCCACAGCTTCAGAGCCATACAACAAGGAGATCTGTGCTGCCCAAGGACAAGCCAGGCATGGACTGCACCGTGCAAGACCTGGACCAAGCCCTCAGTCCCCGAGTGTGAGAAATAATGGCTCAGCTCTCCCCTGCCCACCCACCCCCAACTTCCCAACCATCCTTTAGAATAACTTTGCTTTGATTTTTCAATGGAATTCTTTCTGTTTTGTATCACAAAAATGCACTATGTCTTATGTAATAATATTATTAAAATTGTTACAGGTTTGGATTTTATATTGAATATTTGTTTTTTTTAGTTCTTGTTTTTCAATACTGCGGTTTGAACCCAGGGCCTCACACATGCTAGGCAAGTGTTCTACCACTGAGCCAAAATTGCAGCCCCGATGACCTCTTTTTTGTTAAAGTATGGTGTTGAGCTTGGTTCTCGACTGTGAGCCCCAGGTGGAGCCTCCGTACCCTAGGAGAGTTTCTCTCCGGCCTGCAGGGATGAAGCAGGTGTCTGTAGAAATCACAAAGGGACCCTGTAACTTAGGGGATACAGTTCCTTGTGAATGGGAGCTTTGCTAAATTAGGTTACTGTGCAAAGATGAATGCATTAGGAAGACCCCTAAATTTTTTGCAGAAAATATATTTTATTTAAAATCCCCAGCAGGGTAACRTCCAGCAGGTAGGGGGCGCTCCAAGGTGGGAGTAGATGGCAGAGCTTGCTATAGGGAATGCCATGTTCAGAGGCCCTGGCTGTGTGGCTCACCTAGGCTCCTCCAAGTGTCAGGGAGGGCCTGCCTCAGCAGTCCAGGCTATTCTAGAACAATGGCTCTGGACTCCAACATCTGCTCCTCTGGCCCACGGTCCATCAGCCATATATACTGTTTATGCCCGCCTGCTGCTTCCCTCTTCAGAAACTCCCAGTCCTGACCAAAGGCTCTCCCTGAACCGACTGCAGATGACCTCTGACTGCTCTCCCCAGCCCCATGCCTCCAGCTCCAAGCCCGGTGTGAGCGATACAGCCTGTGTGTGCACCTGACCGCCCTCCCCAGGGAGCCAGGCCATGGGGTGGGGTGGGGGGAGTCCAGGGCCCTGGAGGGAGCCTCCTCACAAGGTCGGAGTTGGGACCCAGACTGTAGAAGCTAGAGACCTTTAGACAAGAAGGCTGAGCCTGGATCGTAGAGGAATGAGAGTGTTGGGAACCAGTTAGATCAGTTCTGAGGACAAGAGGAAGACAGGAAGGTTTGGGGGCCACCAGGAGGGACGGGGGAGGGGAGGGTAGACACCAGGAAGGTTTGTCTGGGGCTATGGGTGGGTAGAGTTGGGAGGGGAAGACTGAGAGCGACCTACTGCCTCAGGCAGGGCAGGAAGAAGCAGGGCCCAAAGCAGGGCTCCACGGGTGGAGGAGCAGGCCGATTAAGATCCCGCCAGAAGGGTGACATGTCGCGTGCTGGGCAAAGAGGGAGAAGGCCTGAGACTCAGGGCATTAGATCTTCTCCCTGAAGCCATCACGCTGGCCAGAAAAGGGATGCCAATCCTGAGGCCCAGAATTCACTCCCCACCCCCACTGTTCTCAACTCACACTTTACACAAATTGGAACTTATGACTGACCCTCTGAAAGGGACGGGGCCTTCTCTTCCTACATGACCATCCAGGTTCCTCTGCTCTTGCCAAGACTGTCTCACTCCTCCAGATGAGCTACGATGACATGTCTATCAGATCTAGCCCCCCCACACACACACACTCATACCTCCATCAGGACATTCCCAGTGACAGGAGGGTCCCGTGAACAGGTGTGCAGGGCCTATCCCTGGAGCAGCCGAGAGAGGTCCCCGTGCATACTGCTGACTTGGGACACCAGGTAGATAGAGAGAGCTCAGGCCCAGGATCCCTGKACTCTAATGCCAGATCTCGCCCTGAACTGCTGGGCGTCCCTCTCTAGCCCTTAGTTGTCTCATTTATAAAATGGGGTGGCACCCTTTTTCTGGAAGATAGTCTCATAAGATGCCCTCTATTTAGGTCATTAGATATCCTCACCACCTCAACTCTCTGGGCAGGGCAAGGGAGGGAGGGGGTCCTGCACCCCAGTGTGGCCCAGCCTGGCCCTCCTTGCTGCCCTACTCTGCCTCCGTTTCAGCTGCRGGTCCTGGAGGCAGAGAAGCGGCAGGCCTGGGTCAAAACTCACCCCAGGCCAAGGCCATGCTGGGAGGCACTGAGTCATCGGCTGGTTCCTGTTGACAACTGTCACTTCCCCTGGCGCCAGGTCCCATCGGGTCTCCCTCCTCCTCCCCAGCCCTCCAGSCTCTGTCCTCCATCCCCCAGTGTGACTCGATTGTGCCCCCTGAAATCCCTGTGAACCCCAAGAAACACAAGGAGAGCAGGAGTCGGAAGTTTCTAGAATTTAAATATATAAAGTGCAACCACATAGCTTATCAAGACTGAGCACATCCTCTGAGTTGGAAGTTGGGGGRACGAGTGAAACCCAGTGATCTCCAGAGGCCGGGGTGGACAAGAACCGCGCGTCGTCACACCAGCAGGCAGGGTTTCACTTTTCCCAAGTAATCCTGAACCCATCTCTCCTTCTTCAAGGCACAGCTCTCTCTGCCTCCCTTCAGCTTGAAACTGTGAACAAAGAACACAGGAGAGGGCTGAGTCGCCAGAGTCACCCACTGGGTACCGTGCCCAAGTCCCCTCTCCACTTCCACGCACCCAGGTGACCCTGAACATCCTCTCTGGGCCTTGCCCTTTCCCTTTATATATGAAGTCACTGTGATCTGTGGCTTGCTCATGGGAGGGGCGGGGGGCATCCAGAGCATCAGGAGCTCATTGATGGAGCTTCCTGGACCCTTCTCCTAGACATTATGATTCCATGTGTCAGAGTGGAACAGAAGACTTTGGAGACACGCTGAGGATTAGCTTAGATGAAAAAAATTGGCCTCCTTGAATATCTCTCGGTGTCAACTTTTAGTGTCTCCTGCCCGGCTGGGACCTCACTCATTCTCTCGTGTGTGTGTGTTCTTTTCTGATCTGCCCACTTCCCAATTTGACTATTGCCCAGTCCAGAGCCCCAACTCTGCCTCGACTCTCTGGGAGAACTTTTGACAACTATCTCTTCCTCCAGGAACCTAAGTCGTCCTGWTAACAGAAATGTGTGCTTCTGGGGTTTAGCAGAGATGACACGCGTGAAACTGCCTTAGAAAGCTGAGCAGTGTCTGTTACCCCAGTCAAGTGTGATGCAACCATCAGGCTGAAACCCCTTCACCCAAAAGCAATATGGAGGCGACCTGATAATGCGGTACAGAGGAGCTCCCAGTCCCCAAACTACAGGTTGGCAAATGCAGTGGCACGAATAATCATCACAACCTTGTTCTTTCCACTACATGATAATCCCAGTGCTTGTGTTAAGCAATTCCTTCCKCCGGGCATACAATACTGGGATATAGTCATTGGCACCTTGGACTTGCCAGAAACAAGTCGCTGCAGGARTTCCTGGCACCTGCTGCGCAGCTCCGCGCGCCCCCTAGCGCCCAAGCGCGGCTCTGCATGCTAGTTTGGGGGGGGGGGCTCGCTCTCCGGATTTACAAAGTTTATTCTTGTGGAACAGCGCCATCTCGTGTCTGCTCTTGTCATTCCTGCCGACCACATTCCCTCTGGAGGGGAAGGACCCGGCAGGTGATCACTYACATTGCAGCCTGGTAAGCACAGGTGGAGCTGGTTTCTCTGTAACACTGGATTGTCTTCTGGGAAATCCTTTTCTGCGCAAATGAGAAGCAGCATCGGGAGGAAGAGACGTGCACTAGGAGACAARCACAGAAGACAGCTTGCATCCCTCTCTCTCAGCCTCTCACCCACAAAGCCCCTCCCAGGACATCCCCAGGCTTGGGGACCACATCCAGAGGACTCCAGCACAGCCTGGTCTCAGCAGCCACCCAGGTGTGGGATTAGGCGAAGAGTCAGAAGATGGGTTCAGATCGGAGCTCCCTGCAAACTAGCTGGCATTTGTGAGAAGGAACCCAGGCCTGGCCCAGACTTTCCTCCATGGTTTCTAATGGTTCATTTATTTTGACATTCCAGCCCAAGTGTATGGTTCTGTCCCCAGGGTTCTAGACCTCATACCCTGGGGGATCAGTCAGCCCAATGCACACAGGACACTGTGGTTCCGAGTACACAGACCCGGGGCCAGATGAGCTCAAAAAGAGAAGGGAAGAGCTCCCAAGAACTAACCAGCTCCCCTACTCTGTCTCTTCTGTTCCCTTCTCCCCTGATGCTTAGCTGGTTCCAGGCTCCACCCCTACTCAGCTGGTTTCTACATTCCTCTTTTATCTATCCACTCCCCAGCCCCCAAAACTTTGCGTTCCAATCTTGGCTCCTTCCTCCTAGTTAAAAAAAAAAAAAAAAAAAACCTTTCATGTCTATTACTAGATGGGTATTCCTCCAACCCTGGAGGGTATGCAATTACCAAACTCCATTTTTACCAAGAGAGAAATCCATCTGAGAATTAAAGGGCCCGAGACTTGCTCAACGTTAGCCAACTATTAAACGGCTCGAGCCTTGGTCCTGCTTGCAGATTCTGCCCATGATCTAAACACACTGTGGAGGCAAGACCCGAGCCAAGACCCGGCTCCTCCTCCTCTGGTCCTCAGGGCTCCCAGCTTGACTTAAAAATCTTGCAATTCCTCCAACTGCCTGCAGGGTCTGGACCAGACAGAGCCTCCTCAGGCTGAAGCTGGCAAMTTCAAAGCTCTCCATGTTTGCTCCTGGTTCATGGTCCTACTGGCCAGCTCTGCCCCCAGCCCACTGGAATCCCCCATTCCTCCTCTTCAGGTAGGAGGAAGTGAGACAGAGTGGGTGAGTTCCAGGTGAGTCCTGCCCAAACCCCCAGAGCACCCGCCTGCCTGCCTGCCCTCCCCAGGGGTAAGCAAAGGGACTCCGACCACACTTACTGCTCTTGCTGTCCACGTCTTGAGGCCATGTTGCAGCCAGCAGCAGGCACACCAGGGCCACGGAGGTCAGTTTCATCTCRGATGTTTGGCTCCCGCCTCTTTCGAGCAGCCTCGGTGTGTTGGGTGAAGCCAAGGGCTCTCTCTGGTCCCATCCTCGGTGCCTGGAGCTTTTATCTGAAGACCTGGGGTGGGGTTTCCCAGGACAAGGGGAAGAGGTGGGAGTCACAGGGAGAGGGACAGTTACACACACCCAGTGACCACATGGAAAAATCCTTTCCTCATCTCTCCTAGATGACATTCGAGGTCTGTTTGGGTGCTGGTTGGCCTGGGGAACTTCCCCAAGTGCAGGAGCCAAGATAAAGATCTCGAAGAAGCTCTCCTGGCTGAGTGGGAAGTCAAGAAAGGTGAGCCAGAGGAAGTGGCCTGTGTGTGGCTTCTCTAGCCCACACAGTTCCATCCCAGCCTGTTGCCACGCATGACCCGTGGAGCAGGATGGAGCAGAAGCGTTCTGGGCCTGTGCAGAAACACAGGCTTGCCTTGGAATCCCCRTTCTGCAAATTCACAGTGGCCTGCCCTTGCCCAAGTCACAGAGCCATCCAAGATGGCAATAAGAATGCATACTGCACCGTGGGACCTAAGAATGAAAGAAGAGTCTCTGTGGCCAGTGCCTGGTCCCTGGGTATTTGGTATTTCTATTTTCTTAGTCCTCAGCACTTCCTTCCATTACCCGGTTCTGGGCCTTTCCTTAGCCCCAGGGAAGAGCTCCCTAGGAGATGCAGGGCCTGAGCTGAGCCATTGTGCCTCAACGCATAGACAAACAAGATAAAGCCATGCAGTGTAAGGACTGCAACAGATGGGCATGACCTGAGCCCCGAGGAGGGCGAGGAGCCACCTCACCCTGTGGTGTCTGAGAGTGATCTTTAGGCAAGGTCTCCTGCAGGCTGGTGTAGGGGGGGGGCGTGTTAGGGAGGAGAAGGGGTTTCTGCAAGGACCTCARGGAACAAGGGAGCACACTTCATTCCAAGTCCAGAGGCAAAGCTGGACTGTGGGGGTGTAACAAGGAGTGGCTGAAGAGAGATGTGACTTCMGAGGGGCCAGTTCAGACATTAAATCCATTGCTTGGAAGACACAGCACATAGCCCCGTGCAACTGTGTATTCCTCATGATCCCATCCACAGGTGCTCAGGAAAGGGTAGTTGAGTTAAATGTACGTGTGGAACTTGAGGCCCAGGTGCATGATAGAGTTGTAGAGCGTTTTGGCTGGACGGGTCTATTTGATTGTGAACTTGCCAGCTCAGACCCCTGCAGTGGCTCCCCACCGTCCATCCAGTGATGTGCAAGCAACCCCCTGGACACTTATGGTGCTTTTTGTTAGGTCTCAGTGGATTCTTTCATCCTGTTGTGACCTCTCTCTCTCCCTCTGGGAACACCCCGTCMGTTTCTAATACCACTGTCTCCACCAAGATGCTTGTGCTTTTCCACGCCAACAGGATCTCCTCCTGATTTGAATTTTCCTGTGCCTGGGTCGCTACAGGAAGGTCTGATATTCCTGCAGCCTCCTTGATGCTCTGGCATGTCTGGGTTGAAAGTGTCCTTCAAGACCATCCGCAATGGTGGCTCTTAAATTTTTCTGAGAGCTTTTGCAAAAGTGTGAAAGTCTGACCATGCTAGAGAAAGAAAACTCCAAGTGATTCTCTCGGCACCGGAAGGAAAGAATCGTGCATCTGCCATGAGCTCTTCATAGTATCCTGGATCAAAACTGCTCTCCGAAAGGAAAGTCGTTTGCTCCTATTGAGAATGGGTTGCAGAGACAGGGGGGTAGGACTTGAGCCCTGGCCATCTGAGCTCCAAGTGCACCTGTCTCTGAGAACATGTTCAGCTCATGACTTCTGCTGAACCAGGAGCCATTTTGGGGGGTTCTCTGTCACCCCCAAAATAGTAGAAGTAGTTGAGATTACTGTTGTCCCTCTCCTGTTTGTTCCCTTGGTCCCTGGAGATGGATGGAGTTTTATTCCATGACCCTGGCATCTCTGGGGAGAGGGGAGTTGGTTGGCCAAATGTAACTCTGGGTCCCTTAGACTTGACAAATGGAGGGGGAACAGTGTGGTCACCCAGGAAATTCTTTGCCCTCCACCTCCTCTTGGGGCTGCCCCTCCAACAGCTCATTTCCCCTCCTCCCCCTTGCTGTGGCCACCACCAGCCCCACACAGGAAGAAGGACCAGCAAGACTTAGTCATGCCTTTCCTCCCCAGGCCCCCTTGGTACCTGGAGGGGACTCACTGCAGGCTCTGACCACACAGCAGCTTCATGGGCCACACAGGCATCTCCCCACTCCAACGTGGCCGTCGACAGCAGGGACTTCATCTCTAGGCCCTAGCACAGGGGCCAGGACCAAGTGATGACTCCCTAAGATATTTGTGACATCCTGTGAGCTGGGACGAAATGACCTAGGAAGGATGCAGGAAACACCCTCAGGATAAACATCATGACTCGTATAAATAAATCTTTCCTTTTTTATTGGTGCCTGTTAATTATACAGAAGAGTGGGTTTCCTTGGGGAAACAGAATTTGATCAATTTCACTCCCTGATAGCTTCCCTTATCCTCCCCCTCCCTYCCCTGATCCCCTTCCTCTACCTTCTTTCTACCTTCATGATGTCATTTTTTTCCTTTCTAGCTTCCAATTTGAGAGAAAAATATGATATTTGCTGTTCTATGTCTGACTTATTTTGCTTAACTTAATGCTTTCCAGTTCCATCCATCTTCCTGCAAATGACACAACTTCATTCTTCTTTATGGCTGAATAATACTCCCGTGTACGTGTGTGTGTGTGTGTGTGTGTGTGTGTGTGTGTGTCATTTTCTTTATCCATTCATCTATTGATACCTAGACTGGTTCTATAACTTGGCTATTGTGAATTGTGGTACTGTAAACATGAGAATATTATATTTATTATGCTGACTTTAATTCTTCTGGATAAATACCCAGGAGTGGTAAAGCTGGATCATGTGGKAGTTCTCTTTTTAGTTTTTTTGAGGCACCTCCACATTGATTTCTATAGTGGCTCTACCAATTTGTGTTCCTACAGTGTCTAACCCCTTTCCCCACATCGTCACCAGCATTTATTATTGTTTGTATTCTCGATGACTGCTGTTCTGATGGAATCTCAGTGTAGTTGTGATTTTCATTTCCCTGATGGCCAAAGATGCTGAGTATTTTCATAAAATTGTTGACTGTCTGTATTTCTTCTTCTGAGAAGGGTCTGTTCAGTTCATCTGCCATTACTTGACTGGGGCTGTTGTTTGGGTGTTGAATTTATTTGTGTTCTTTATGTATACAGGATAGTAACCCTTTGTCTGAGAAGTCGCCGGCAAGAATCTTCTCCCGTTCTGTTAGGCTCTCTCTTCATGCTGTGGTTTCTTTTGCTGTGCAGAAGCTGTTCACTGTGATGCTATCCCATTTAYGGATTCTTCTTATTACTTTCTGAACTACCTGAGTCCACTCAAGATGTCATAGCTTGAGCCTCTATATTAAAGTATTTCCCCTGTTTTCTTCTAGCATTTGCCAAGTTTCTGGTCTACTCCTTAGGTCCATGATCCATTCTGATTGACTATTGTACAGGTGAGAGAGAGAGGGATCTAGTTTCGTTCTTCTACATGTAGATAACCAGTTTTCCCAGCAAACAGAATTCTTCTCCTGATTCGATGTTTAGAAGCTAGGAGGTGCCTGAAGGTGGTTATTTTTATTAGTCATCTTTTCGGAAATAGGTACTAATTTACTGAAGACAGAGACCAGATAGACTTCAACCAGTATGGATCCATATTAAAATCATYACTTCCAGTGGTGTCCAGGGATATCCAGGGTGTCCATGGGTTCCAGGCTCTCTTGCCTCCCCCTTGCTGACCAGGTGGATTGGCTCCTGCCCCTGCCACCTGCTCTTCAGTCACAGCTCAGCTCAGCTCCCCCATGGCCAGAGACCCATGGGGGAAAGACATTTTCTCAGCACCACAGAGGTGCAGAAATACTTGTTGTTTTATCCACCTCTGGGACTGAGTCTTCCTAGTTTCCTTCCTAGTTTTCCTTCCTGTCGGGAGGAAGAGGGTGCTCTCTGGAGTCAGGCATCACTGGGTGAAATCTCAGCTCCACGCTTGGCCTTGGGCAAGTAGCTGAGGCTTTCTGAGCTCTGTTCCCTCTCATAAGCTCCAGTGCAAACTGGCCCTGCTACATCTCTCCCTGTTGATTTCAAAATAAGCTTCCCCGAYTTTAACCTAATTTTGAGTTATCTGAAGGGTTAAGTGATGTGTAAGAGGGAGGGAGGGGAGAGGAAAAGGAAAGGGGGTTGGAAGGTTGAAGCCCCTTGTGGAGTACCTAACATGTACCTAACACCCCAGGGACAAGCAGGGCACAGCTCTGCCCTCGGGGACTGACAGCCCACTGGGGCGCAGGTCTTGGTGGGAAATATGAGACAAGCTCCAGGGGACAGCATCCTGAGAGCTGCGGAGTGTACGGAAGCTGTCACCTCTAGCACCAGGTCCCCTTTCCTCCTGGGTCCTGGACCACTCTGAGGTGTCCACACGTGACCAAGGCAATGCCACCACCTCCCCTGTAGACTCCTTCCTTCTAAGGTGGTGCTGCTGACACCCAGGCCAGGCTTTGTGCTGCTGCCGACAGGAGCGCAGGGTCCTCTGGGGTCCTGGCCCAGGTCCGCTGGCCCCGCCCACAGCGATGATGCGCAGCACCCCTCCCCCACCGGGAATCCAAAGCCCCGCCTCCTGGGACAGGAAAATCTTCCTCCTTTTCTTCCTACCGCTGCACACTTCAGTTCTCCTTAGGGCGCCCCCCCCCCCATGTAAAAGAGCCATCCTGCGTCTCGCAGCAACAGGCAGCCTGAGGGTGCCCAAGGATGTCGCAGCAGCGGCCATTGCCAGCTTCTCTGGGTGCTGCTGAGCCTGACAACTTGGCCTGCTGTGCGGGGGTGAAGTGCAAATGTGGGCTCTGCTCACAGAGTCCTGCCCAGCGTGGCCACAGGGCTCTGGCCACACAGCCTGGCTCACTGTCCTGTTCTGCATGGATCCTG